GCTATGCAGTTTATTCCTTGTGTCATTCTCATGATGGGTATTCCATTTCTTCCTCGCTCACCTCGCTGGCTAGCAAAAGTCGGACGCGAAAAGGAAGCCATCGCTATTCTGGCAGATATCCAAGCAGGCGGTAATATCAACGATCCACTCGTAATCGCCGAATGGGAGGAAATCACCACCATTCTTGCTGCCGAACGTGAAGGCCAGAAAGGGTGGAGACGATTCTTCAAAAATGGAATGTGGAAACGTACATTGGCGGGTACGTCTGTGCAGGCATGGCAACAATTGAGCGGTGCAAACGTGATGACTTACTATGTGGTGTATATTTTCGAAATGGCTAGCTTGACAGGAAATATCGGTCTTGTTTCATCTGGTATCCAATACGCTATTTTCATCATCGGGACTGCAGCGACTTTCTTTTTTATCGACAAAACTGGTCGAAGACCCTTACTCGTAAGCCCTTCTTTTCCTAACAATCAACCCTATGTTCCCCAAAACAAAAAACACATCCTCTAACCCAAACCCACCAGATCTACGGCGCCCTCGGCATGGGAATCTGCATGTTCGTCGTCGGCGGCATCCTCGGCTCCTACGGCACCTACCTCCCCAACGGACTCGACGGCAATCTCAGCGTGCGCGTGCAAGTCTCCGGCTCCCCAGCCTACACCGTCATCGCCTTCTGCTATCTGCTCGTGCTTCTCTACTCCGTCACTCTCGCGCCCATTGCGTGGGTCTACGCTGCTGAAGTGTGGTCGCTCGAGACGCGTGCAACTGGGATGGCGCTCGCGTCCATCGCAAACTGGCTCTTCAATTTCGCAATCGGATTGTTCATCCCCAGCGCGTTTCAGAATATTAGTTGGAGGCTTTTTATTATTTTTGGGGTGCTGTGTTTTGCGGCTGCTGTGCAGGCGTTTTTTACGTATCCCGAGACGGCGGGGAAGACGCTCGAGGAGATTGAATTGCTTTTTGCGAAGGGGGGGCCCAAACCGTGGAAGACGAGGCCGGGGGATAGTTTGTTGGATGAGAGGGTGAGGGATGTGGTTGTGGGGGAGGGGAAGGGGGTCCAGGAGGAGAGGGTGGAGTATGGAGGTGGAGTTGAGGGTGTGGATGGGAAGAATGGGAGTGTGGTTTAGAAGTTTGGGTTTGGGAGTGGAGGTTAGATGGATGGATTGATTGATAGATAGATACATAGATAGATACCATGGGTTTTATGAGTTATGAGGAGTTTGAAATATATATTTGAGGGTATTTTATTACGACAGATTTGCTATGCCGATTATCCTTTTTGTGTCAAAACATATAACACTGCGATCCTTGAGCTTTTGGGTTTGTGAAATCTTAATACGGGGGTTGAGTGAAAAGTACCTAGAAATGGTATCATCGCGATTGAGGTGGATAATGCGTTTCAAGTTACTCTAGTCAAGTTTTAATAGAGTGTAGTCATCATTTTACAAAAGATTAGATACCATAATACCCATCCATAGGTACTTATCACCTGAGATGATTCACTCAATAGATGGATGGCATATCAGATCAATACATAACAAGCATCCAGTTACTTACCATCATCCACTCCCTCACCTCAAATTGTTCCGTATCATCTGGAAAATAACAATGCTGAATCATCATTTACGAGAGAATTTCGAAAAGTAATCTATGAATATAGGTATTGATTGATATGTATGGAGAGTGGAGATGGATGGAGAGTCTAGAAAGATCTACGGATATGAGGTGAGATAACATCGAGGTCGTTGAAGTTGTGTAGATGGATGAGTGGTTATGGATGGGTTGTTGTGCCGAGGGTTGGGGCTTGGAGATGGGGATATGTGTGTTGGAATTGTTTACGGTATTGGAATGAATGTAGATTTTGAGGGGATAAAGGGGGGCTGGAAAGCAAGAAAGGATACGGTTATGCTGGATTTGTAGATGGTGGGAAGAGTAGTGGCAATTATGAGCTGTAGAATGGGGAGTTGAAAAGATGGGATTGTGAGTCAGTGTAGAGTCCTATATTTTCTGGTTATAGTCGAGATCCTAAATTTTGCTTCTCTTCTATATTTTTCGTATCTATGTTGACCTTTAGTTTCAGAAGTCTCTTGAATAACTTCATGACGCAAGCTTCCAAATAGAGATGAAATCTACTGCTAATCATGTTGACGACTTAGACTAATACTCGTCATCCTCCTCATCATCATCCAAAAACCGTACCGATGGCCTCCTGCTCTCCTCCTCCGGTAACCTATCCCTTTCCACCGAAGACACACTCTCCTCCACAGGCGGACCTCTCTCATGAGCTGCCCTAACCCATTTCCGCACATGTCGATGCTGATAACAAAGCGGACTAACCAACGCCTCCACCGTACTCCCACTCAGCGGCGTCACCAGTGAAACTCTTCTCGAACATTGTTTTCCCGTTGCTGTTAAAGCCATGCAGAGACGTGGTGTGCGTTCGTCATCTGCCCAGTCTTTTTCGTCTTCGTAATGCACGTATCGCTGACGCGTGGGCGGGAAGGTTGTAGAGGTATTGCGTCGTTCGCGTAGGGGAAGGTCGTTGTTGGGATAGTAGTAGTGTTTTTCGGAGGGGTTGAGGGAGAAAAATTGGGAGGCGTTGGTGGGAGAGGGTGGTCGTTGCGGTTTGGGGTTGGAGGATGAGGTTGAGGAGGATAGTGAAGTGGAGGAACTTGAATTTGGACTTGTACTTGGAGAACGAGACTGGGGCACTTTCAACCTCTTATGTTGTATTGGCGGTGGATTGGTTGTTAGATTGTCGGTAGTAGAACTTGTAGCTCGGCTCTGTTTTGTTATGGTGCTGGGATACCGAGTTGATTCTGATTTGTCTGAAGGATTTGTATATCGACTTGAGACTTCCTTTACAGAGTACTTTTGCGGCTTTCCTAGACGATATAACGATGTCGAATCTTCATCTGCGTAATAGTCTCCATCTGAAGAGTAAAAGGAGTTTGGTCGTTGTGATGCTCTAGTCCGAGCCTGATTCTGTGATCGTGCCACATCGCCATCTATTGTTCGATATGTCGACGCACGACTAGATCTCGCCGATGGAGCCCGAAAGACTGGTCGTCGTCGCTTTCTTTTAGGCTTCTTGGTAGTCTGGAAACTAACTAAAATCAAGAGGATAAGAATGATACTGAAAATACTGAAAGGTACAGTCAGAATATCGACACAAAATAGTGAACACCGCTTGCCTAAAGTTGGCCAATCAGTGTTTGCCGGAATTTGTGACCATGGTATGTACGGTTCTCTCTTTTCTACCAAAACCTTGAAATTATCGCAACCACGTTGAAAGTCGAGATATACGTCCTTAACTGTTTCATTACCAGGGTTTCCACTTCTCCAGGTCTCAACACGACGCCATATATTGTCGCTCACAGAGTAAGGTAGCAGGTTGTCCACAAGTATATGAGCCGCATTTACCCAGGTCGCGGTACAAAATTGAAACCCGTCATTTTTTTCAGGAGGGCACATTATTTCAGTTGATAAAGTGTCATAATCCCACGGCCACGGTTTGGGCGCGAAGCTGTCAATTTCACGATGTTTACTTGCCCACCGACTGTTCCAAAAATCAACTCCAAACCTCTGTCGATAATCGGATTTGAAACGACAACCAAACGTCTTTTCACAAACCATTAGATGATAAAAACGTTTCTCATCGTCTCTCAGTACCTCGTAAGCCTCGTTGATAAGCTGGGTGGCAGTTTCGGCACTACTATTTTGCTCTGGACCTCGTAAATTATCTGGATGAACTAATTGGAGAAGGCGACGATGTGCTTGTTCAATATCTTCTTGAGTTGCACTGACTGGAAGATCAAGATTGTAGTAATGAGGAGTAAAGTTTGGAGTGTGACATGATTTGTATTTTATCAAATTGTCCATTTCGCAGAGCCTTGCATGGAAATTTTACTGGTGACGATATAAAAATACACGTACAGAAACAATTTAAATGATGGTTTTCATGATGAAGCCATACCGTTTTTGAGCATAAATAGCAGGATACAAACGTTAACCGTAGAAGAACATGTATCGGCAGACAGACAAAGAATGGAATCTTAGACACTTCTCTAACACTGTGATGACTTAACGTAAAGAATGCTGCAAACAGGTTGGTGCGTTGTTGCTTTTCTTATCTATCTGATACAGAGAGACAATTGCATTGTTTGAAGCTCTCTATATCTCTTTGGTCTTTTGTTCTTGCATCCCACACTCAACATTCTTCAATCATCGTGGCATCACTGGTCGTGAGAAACAATCAACATGTAACCTTATGATGTTCTCATACCTTCACCTCCACATGTACTCTCGCCCTAATGAACTTTCATCAAGAATATATGAATTTATGGCAAGCCTCTTGACCTTCTGAAGCCGAGATATGATCTTGTAATCACACACGGTTTCTGAATGACTGGTCATAGATAGAAAAGGAAAGGAGCAGTGTTAAAAAATACCACAAGAGGCTTATGTAAGCACGGACTGTCGGCCACCACCACCAGGCTTCGTTTTACCTAGCATGCATCTCCAACTTTCCTAGACCAAATATAGTGTTCATCGATACCAACTCTTACAATCATCGTGATTAACTTAGTAGAAGTCTACTGTCATCTTTTCATGAATAAATCGAATTGAACAAGATGGAATATCGGAATGATGCCACCGCTAGATGGAGGGGTTGGAACACATCTACGACAACAAAGAACTCCCTACAATAGGTAGGTAACTTGCAAACATTTGTCCCTAAATTTTGAAGACTCAAGGAACAATACTAAGGACAATAAAAGGCAAGTACCAGGAGTTAGGGAAATAGACCTATTTTGTTTGGTATTTGGTAATAGAAAGGGATAACCTTAGAAATAGTTAAAATTCATTCTCTGTTAAGTCCTTCTCTCCCGAGGCCGTTGAACATTATTGCATTGGATATGAAAATACTGGATAACATCTGTATTTATGGAGGCTGGAAGGCAACGGCCGTGTCTGTCTGCCTTTTGCCCTTCATGGTGTCTTACCTCGTCACTACAATCAAATCTGTCATTGCTGTGCGGAGTAAAAAGAATGGCAAACTGCCCGCGATTGATCCATCAGCGGATTTTATGTTTGGCAACCTTTTAGCCTTTTCTTTTGACACTCGTGGATATATGGCACATCTCATGTAAGTTTAATGCAATTCATCCATGATCATTTGGGTTTACTTATGAATGCGACCAGAAAACGATTCGGTCCTCATGTACCTGTTCGGATTCGAGTAGCCTCCGATAGCTTCTACTTTGTTTCAGGGCCAGAATATATCATCAAATTGTTCCGCGGCTCTCGGGATCTTACTGCTATTCCTGCCATGGCTGCTATCGTGGAACGAATATTCGGCGCTCCTCCTGAGGCCAGTTCTGTACTTTTGGATGACAACACCGGAACCTCACCAAAACCACTGCCAAATAGCAACCCTTTGCCCGCAGACCAACGTTATCATCATATCTCACATCAAGCATATACTGATAACCTCACTGGTGTGAGATTAGCAGAAGTTGTAACTCGGTTCCTAACGAATCTTAGCACAGAGCTGGATAAAATTGATATGGGAACGAACGAATGGCTTGAGATACCGGATCTGTATTCTTTTGTACAAAATGCAGTATTCAACGCTAATACGCTTGCCCTTTGTGGGTCACATATATTTGAAGTTAATCCTACATTCACCGAGGACTTTTGGAACTTTGATTCTCAGGTTGGAGGACCACTCAAGGGTATTCCAAGATTTTTCATTCCCGGCGCGTACAGAATAAGAGGTAAAATGGTCAAGAGTATCCTTGAATGGCATCGATCAGCAGAAGCACATGTCGATCATAATGACAAGGAACTTGATAAGAAGTCATGGGAGCCATATTATGGCTCGAGGCTTTTCCGAGACCGAGCACGGCATCTTTCTAAGATTAACGGCTTCGGTGATCAGGCTCGTGCGGCTAACGATCTGGGTTTGATATGGGGGTAAGTTGATCTAAAATATGGAACCTAATTTTTTGAATATGCCCTAATGCTCCACAGTGCGAATTCCAATAGTGTTCCAGCAATTGCTTGGTGTATACTAGATATTATTTGTCGTCCAGATCTTCTCTCACAAGTGCAAGCTGAACTTGCTTCCATTACAAAACTACATCCAACTGCAAATTTTGATCAACAAATGCCTGATCTTCTATCAAACCTCCTCCTCCAATCGATTTATTGCGAGGAGCTGAGATTACGAAATGCCGCGGCACTTCAGCGTAGTACTGTCTCCTCAAATTTTAAGCTAGGTCCATGGAGATTCCCCAAAGAAGCTATGATTCTAGCAAGTATCTGGTTTGCGGGCCATGATAAGAACGTTTGGAATGAAGGTGAAAACGGAGAGCACGATGTTGATAGTTTTTGGCCCGAACGTTTCATTCTTTACCCCAATAATCCATACAGCGGCCCAAGGAAATCAGATTCAGGTAAACATCCATCTGAAAAAATCACCAAACCTAAACTCACGACGGACACGGTCAGCGGCTCCTGGATCCCTTATGGTGGTGGTCAGCAAATATGCCCAGGTCGATTTTACGCAAAACAGGAATCTATCGGAAGTATAGCGATGTTTTTGTCCAAATTTGATATTGAGTTGACTGGTGATAGAAGGCCAGAGCCAGACTTTAAGTACTTTTCACTGGGAGTTTTACCTCCCAAGGGCAAGTTCCCAGCAAGATTGCGCAGAAGGTCTGGAAAGCTTTCGGAGTAAGCGGTAACATATTATAAAACTCGTTTTTGTAATGATAGTTTTATTACATGCCTTCTAGTCGGTTTCACACGAGCATTAAAATTTTGTCGCAATCTTTCGTTTAGCTGTGGTCCAGTTCTTGGCCGAAATTCGCTCTTTTTCACATTTGCTTTGAATCTGTATACCATATTCTGCTTATAATCCAAATCGATGCTCCCTTGAGCTCTTACATTTGATGCCCCTTCGCCCAAAAGCATTTACTGAATGCCTTCTTCATCTTTCAACCTTAATTGGAGAAACTTGTTCATATAATGCTATTCACTATGAACCCTTTATGGCTAGATCTCCGTTGCCGTCGTTTTAGGTAGAGCGAGTTCAATATACCAAGGCTTCTGCGTTGGCTGATACCTCAAGTTCATTATGCTTGCATTGACCATTAATGTTTCTTTACCTTCTTCAATAGGTTCAATATTCAACTCCGGCCACCCACATTCAACTTTTCTCATCTTTGAAATGCCATCCTCTCCCCAAGTCGCTACTTCTGCACCATGCGCTTCATGAATGTGACCGCAGCAAAACAATGTCGGTTTTGCTCTTTCCAGTGCCTTGATTAAATTACAGCATCCTACATGTCCAGCACGTCCATAGACTTCGTCTAAAACGGCCATTGGAGGACCATGAGTCATGACAATATCAATATTCTTACCACCATCATCCTCTCCAAAACTCGGTATTCGCACCGCGCCAGGCACGCTTTGCATCCCCAAATCAAGTTCATCTGGACCATTAAAGCGATCCTGATACCTTTCATACGCGAATCCAAACCCGCAAAATTCAGGTGTATATGGACTTGCATAGATCCTCAACGCTGCTCCATTCTCCAGGCTAAAATCATGAACCCCCTCCTCCAAATAAGTAACACCAGCATCCCTCGCCATATCACCCTTCATAATCTCATTTCCCGCAGCACATTCCTCTAAATCCTCTTTATATTCTTCGCTGGTGTATGAGTGGCCAAGATTGCGTACAACCCATGTTTTATCCAAAGTCCGATCGTGATTTCCGGCGATCACGAGCTTTAACTTGGCGGGGATGGCTTTCAACATTTGAAGAGCGCTGCGATATTCGGATAAGCCGCCAAATCTAGTGAGATCACCACAGTGAAGAAGAACATCTATATCTGATGGGATTTTAGAGAGTGAGAGAGGAATATCAGCATCGTTGAATTCGAAGGTGTGGGTGTCTGAAATGACCATCACGCGGGTGGGGATTTTTGGTTGTTGGCCCGCCATTCTTAAAGCTCGTTGTAAGGGTTTTGTAGAGTTCTGTAGGAAGAATTTTGATGCAAAACGAGGGAGACGCATAAGTGATAGGTAATGATGTAAAAATGAGGATGCAAGAACAAACCGAATCCAAAGTGCTGCCTTGCCATGAGCACGTGATTAATTGTCAGAATGTCCGCTGCGCCACCGAGCCGCGCCAGCCCCGCAATTGTCTCACAACAGACAGAACATCACGAACGACACGCGCCAGAGGCAACGATGGAACGTCAAACAAGAGGGCTGTAATGCCCTTCTTCTCGATGCATTGTAGACACCGACGTATAATCAAAAGGTCTATAATCTACCAATTAACTTTCCTGTTTTTTCAGACCTTTTTTCTATATTTTCACATGGTTGCATTTTTCACACGGCATGGAAATAGTTGCTTTTTGTGTTGTATATTAAGGATTACAATATCTACGGAATCTACCCGTCTATCAAACCGTTGGCTGGTAAGACACGATCTACTTCCTCATCTCCAGTATATCAAAGATCTATCCATATTTTCAATCATGGAGTAAGATCAAATCTTCACAGGTTGACCATATTTGCCATGAAAAATGAAACTTTCTCACTCTCATCGAATTGGCCACTGAATCTCCGGTGATGCATCCCTCTTCAAAGATGCCAATTGAAGCCCAGTGACTTCGTGTGCAGTATGTTTAATCCATGATGTCATAATCTTAGAGATTCCATGGTCTTGATCGCAATGGACGTCTGGTATCAATGACACAGCAGCGCACAATGAAGTTGGTTTGATACACTTGATCTTCTTTTCCAAGATAGAAAAAGACCACTCTTTGTATGGTTTTTTCGGAAGTGGGTAGATCTGTTGCTCAATGGCACCTTTCAATAACATGCCTAGTATCATTGAATCACATTGCTTACGGTAAGACACTCTATCTTCACCACATCTGGTGCGAATTGAACATTTCGAACTATCTTCTTGATATCGCTGTATGGTGTAATCAAACATATCAACCAATTCAGCAATTGCATGCTGGCGAGAATTTTCAAGCTCATCTATAAAAGTCGTGTCAGCGCTTGTTATATGATCAAATAGAAACAGGATTTAGACTGAATAAAACCTAAGATGCTTACCCATAACAATTTGAGGAATCGGTAGAGTAGTCATGCTGAACAATTTTTTCGATTCCATTTCCAGTATAATTGAGAGCAAGGCCTTTCGTGATCTCTTCAAGTACATCTGTCATATTGAAAGTCCAGGCTATGAAGATCCAGCGAGGTATGTCTTCTCCCGACACAGAGTCGTGGCCAGCTGACATTCTCCAGGTCGGTGTGAACGCATAAGCAACCTCATGCATTTGGTACTTGTCGCATAAGAGTGCAATCTGGGTGAACATGGGCAAATTGATATCCAAAGGAACAGATCTGAAACGTCCATGTATGATGTTGAGTAAAATATTCCATGCCTTTGAATCCTCATCACGAAGCGACAATTCCACCTTGCCGGTTATCTTCAGCTCGATACCCTCTTGAGAGCTTGCCTGGAACATAGCTTTGAATACTGGCGAAGCAACGGACATATGTTTGGATGAGACTAGCATGCGGACTTGCTTCAGCTCGACCCACGAATTATCGTTGGATTCGGATGGTTCTTCAATTGATATGTCGGTCGGCGAGACATCGGTTGCCTTAATCAAAATCCTGGACACTGTATTTGATGGCTCGGCATCTATAATCTGAGAATCATCTTCTGATGAATCGGCGTCAATCCAGATATCATCTGTCAGAGTCGATGAACATTCTTCTGGATCGAATGAGAGAACTAGGTCTCCATCTGCGTCTATGATCAACGTATCACTGGTCATTTTGATACGGTAAAATTATCTTATATGTAGATTGTACGAGAATCTTTCTGCTGAAATCGTGTTGGGTAATAAAGAATAAGATTTTGTCGTGATAAATCTTAGTAGTATTGTTGGATAGTTGTGATGAATGTAAACTTTATATGAGAAAGCGACGCGGAGAATAGTCGCTAATTTATCCGCTAGCGCATTCTCGTAGTTGTAGTCATGAATATGAGGACCGTATTAAGATCTCATTGAATATTCGAATCTAGAAAGACTCGAATGTACGGGATTCGTAGATGCGACGTCGATTCGCTAAGCTAGAAGGAGCCAGCAAATTCACTACAAACTTGACACATTACCACGTGAATTCATGTAAACATTAACGTGATATGAATACAAGATATTCACTTAATTATGCATTCTCATTCGATTATGCATTGCTACAAAACTTACGAAACATCAAAGTTCATGAAGTCTGAGGACACTCATGAATAATGACGATTCCTACTCGATCACGTTAATTGCAGGGTGAACGGATGGCAGATTGACCATCACTTAACTGAACTTGTCGGTTTTCACCATCATACAATCACGAAGAGAAGGAGAGAAATCAGACAGATCTTCCAAGAAGAGACTAGATAATAGATCTTACCCATACCTGTGAGTGGGGTGATACCCTCAGGAGTAGAGCCATCTCCTGTCCACACAACTCAGCCCTGAAATCCAATAAGACCTTATAATCGCCCTGATACTATGGTCGAATTTTGGTGTTATTCTGAAAGGGCAATCATTTCAAATTTGATAATAATGTGATGTCACAGTCACATTAAAACCACTCATCCTCGCTATCAGTCATCACAATGATATATCATAGTACCAAAAGATGTTAAATTTCAAGATCATATGATCGATATGATGTTAGGGCCACGCAGATTTTACATAATATCTCTGGATTTGACAACAGTCACAGTCGACTTGGAACTATAAGATTTGGTCTTGAGTTTGGTTCATGGAGGGCGCTGGTTCTTAGAGTCGCCTGCGAGAATCTATGTGACAAGTGGCAATGTACGTTCATGTAAGCAGATTTCAAGCTTAACTTCGTAGCCAGATCCATGACTCAATTTCCTTGGGTCAATTTCAAATAACCCGGGACTTAACAGAGCCTGTTCACAAAAGGCTTGAAGATAAGATCACATTGCACAGTCAAAAGATTTATCATAATAGATTTGCATTTAAATGAATGTTATGCAAAACTGCATCAACCTCTCATCGCCTCATTAAATTCATCATCGTATACGCGAACACAAACAAAAATAGCTGCTTCAGAAACCATATCACCTCCCCACCAATTCTCACAAGACAATCCCACTTCCAATCCCCATCTCATATCCGCAAAATCATCATCTCCTTCATCCATCAAAGCCTGAGCCTATTGCTTATAGAATGATTGGCAAGGAGATGACAACACCATTTGCAACGTTGAGACAGCTGAGACTGAGCAATCCGGTGGCAGTGCAGCAGTAATCTCCATCATCTTTGCTGGTACGGGCTTCAATTTCACGTTCCTCGACATCACGAGCCTTGAGAATGATTGGAATGCTAATGCCAACACCATTCAAGATGTTGGTGCAGGTGAGGAGGCTGAGAAGTGAGTTGGATTCACAGGTGTATTTGGTACCGGAGCAAGTGGGAGCGCCGGTTGGGGAAGTGCTGCCCCAGGTGTGGGTTGGATTACCACCACCGTTCTGAAATTGAATGTTAGGTTGATAGATCAGAAGAGATGAGATATCAGAAACTTACGTTTGGGAGAGCAGCGACGCTGACAGCGAGGAGTGTGGTGACGACGGCGGAGAATGAGGCGTGCATTTTGAATAAAGTTTTGGAAGTTTGAAAGCTTGAGATAGCTGGTAAAGGTTGTTTGTTTGAAGGACTTGTTGATGTGATTGATGATGTGATTGATGTTGTTTGAGTTGGGAATTCCTCTACTCTTTATAGATTTCTCGAGAGATGTGATATACCACTTTGAAGTACTATCCTAACAGCAGATCCCAGCTGCACGTAGTCTTTGGGCTATAAAAGCCATCCACGTAGGTGGAGTCTTTGATGTTCTCGCATGAGAAGCAAGCAAGTGGATCTAGACTGGCACTACCAACTTCTCATTAGAGGAAAGTAGTATCTCGTCCTTTCAGCAACGCCTCGAATGCCGATCATAGCCGTTTTGTGGGGAAAATTACCTCCGAATGGTAGTCTTCGATGGCGGCTCTTGATATTCACCTACGTGTTGTATATTCATATTCCTTGTTATTTCCTGTTCTGACTGACTGGCTCCAGCGAACATGTTGAGAAGTAGAGGTCTGCGTCTCATGATTCGCTATTGTTTTCCATTTCTGTAGGAACGAAGGATTACCAAGAAATGCCGAGAAGCATAAATGTTCCAGTTGAGGGCAGACTGCATTATTGAAGTGTAAGAGGAAAAAGATCTACAAAATAAAGAACGCTAACATTATTGAACGTGATCCCCTGTTCTAATGTTCTAGACGAGTCTTGAATTCAACGTGAAGTTCTCATACAAATCCGGATTACTCGCCACGCAAAGACGCAAAGACCCAACGACCCAGGCGAAGGGAGATTGAGATGACCCGCATGATACATGGAGGAAAAAAGAGAATAGCTCGCATGATCTGTCAAGCGGTAGCACTTGGTAATTGACAGGTACCACACCACAACCAGATTGCATTATGTTCTTATTGTTCTAAAATTGTCCTTCTAGTACTGACAGAGTCTAGTTTGTATTCAGCCTACAGAATCCTCTTGAAAGATTTTCCCGTATGATGATTGGCGAGGATGAAGAATCCCAGCCCTTCATTCAACCAATTCAGTCACTTGTTGAGAGGGTCTACCATGGAGACCTCATGTGTTGCATACAGTCAATCTACTGTTACTAAATTGGATAAAGTTCGTAGTGACATGAATTCCCGTTTTCCATCTCCACCATGTTGAAAGCACCATGTAATCCCCGCAATTTTATGGCAACCAGTGGGGACAGATAATGCTTGGAATTTAAAGCTAAATATGGAACAGAAAAACTTCAATCATCAAAGGTATTTATGACCCGGATATCCTCTCTATATTATGCAGAGAAGACAGCACGGATATCTTTGATAGGATTACTCCATGCCGTAAGTCCGCACTCAACAAAAAGAAGTCACATAGTTCCCAATCTCAACTTTATTGAGAGTACCATTGTATTTCCATTGATTAATATTCCCAGTATACGTATCATTTCATTGACAGCTATGATTTCCACTAGGATCTGTCAGAATTTGAGGCTTGACGTTCAGAAGCTGAACCTAAAATGTGGTGCATTAGCGCAGTGCTAGACTTCTGTTCTGAAATAGGTTTAAACCCGAATCCTGATTCTAAATGACGTTTGAATGCCAATTCTTCATTCCCAAATGGGTCTATCACGGTTTAATATTCCCATCCAATCATTTAGATTTTAACCTAGGTCGTGTCACTCTGATATTCACCGATTAGTTAACGGATGCCCACACTTAATTCCGAGCCCGCCCCCGCTCCTACAGTAGTATCCGCTAGTCCGTCCTGGCTGTTTCTGTCACCAGTACTCAACTCCGCTAACCGCTCACATGACTCCTTTCTTACTCATCAAAAGCTCAAGCATTCTCATGCAACTCGTATAAAATAAGAAGAGCTTCACAATTTTCCACCTACGTAGATGGCCTTCTTGTCTTATAGATATCCATGTAATAAAAACGACAGGCTGAATCCTATCTCTGTTAAAGCCCTCATGTGTATTCAACTTGAGTTTCATCACAGCGTATCGTTTACTGGTAGATATAATAGTTCCTAAAATCATGAATCGTATCATGAACCAAACATAAGTGCACTCCTTTTTCGATGTTTCAACGAAATTGACAACAGCAATCAATGATTTTACGTAAACTCCAATGATAACCCTGATTTTCCCCTCTCTAAACATTTCAGCCTCGTTTTATCTTCTTAAAATCTTTTGCGACTACCTACCCCGCAAACACTTCAAGGCCGGATGCAACCCAATATTGAGACCCACCTCAACCCCTACCAATTCAATTCAAATTGACCGTCGGAAAGCCCGCAAATCACAAGATCCTGCAGAAGAATAAGCTTAAACCTCTTCAACGACGCAAAATATCCAACCCCCACATAATTGGCACGGTTAGCTCTCGTGTTCTCGTAGAAAAGCCACCCCATGCTCCTCGCTAAAGAGCGTGATTAACCGGCAACCCGCCGCGGCCGGCCCCATGCATGCCAAGACGGCACGTTATGACTTTCCACTCCACTCACCCCCCATACATATAAACTCAGCCCCATCATGACAAGTGACAACAACCCTTCATCCAATACGATCTCCACAGCTACTGCTACAGTAACATTGCTTCACCCACCTTGCGAGGAAAAACTTGCAAAGGGTGAAGATAATCAAGATTAATCTTGCTCAGCTGGCTAGAGAACCTTCTTTTGTAAAAATTTGTAAAAGCTTGGGGCAGGCGATAAAAAACGGTCGAGTGACAATTCACCGGGCTAGGAACGTTGTAAAAGGAGCGAAATCACATGGATTTAGGCTTGATAAAACTGGTTGAATCAATTTTCGACATGAGTAATCTGAAGACAGGTACGAAGAGTCATAGGAGAGGAGAAAAGGGCAGTAGAGTCCTGCAAGTTGGTCTTTCTTTGAAGTTTCTCGTCAATTTTCTTTTGCGTGTAAGCCGGTTCTTTTCAAGGGAAACACCGCAAAAAAGCAGAGTTTAAATCTCGCCACCTTCCAGAAATATCTCTTTCTCTTCATTCTGCCTATCTAATCTACTCATTCATCCTGCTTCTTTGTTTCACCTCTTCGTTGTACCTGTTCATTCTACCCGTTGATTCTACCCATTCAATCGACTCATTCACTTTACACATTTACTCTATGCATTCACTCTAAACTTTAACTATACCCATTCATTCAACCCATTCACTATGCTCATTCTGTCGACCCATCAATTCTCCCCATTAATTCTACCCACCAAATCCACCACATCTACCCCCTCCCCCTTCACTACGTCACCAAAATCCAATTAAATGGTCAAAGTACCCGCTCAATTCCCATCCAGATAGCCATGCCTTATGGCTACACGTGTTCGGATTTTCGCCCTGAAACTTTGATCCTTACCCAGATGCAACCCGCCCCTCATTTATTCTGAATCTTCGGATCACCTCCTCCGGCTCCATATATCAGTTGCTCTGTATATCTGTCAATATACGTATATCTGATAGTACGCCTCTCTTTCTCTCAAAACTTCCTTTTGATTAAGAGGATGTTGCTTCTCAAATACAGTGCTCTTCATTTGATAAGTTTTGTTTGTTCCCACATCCTTTTATGTAGGTGTCTTTCAATTTCAAAAAGTCTCACGTTCGATTATATTCGGTGTCT